GAACTGTTCCTGCGAGATAGGGACAAGTTCCCTCAGCCTAGTGTTGACCAGGCGCTCGTACAGCTTCATGGTATGGGGAGTCAGCTTGATCCCGCGGTAGTTGGAGCACTCCGTCGCGTCCCCTTTCTGCTTGAAGATGGGAACGATTGTGCTGCTCCTCCACGCATCTGGCATCCTTCCTTCAGCTGTTACGTTGTTTAGGAAGTCTGTGAGCCAACTCACCCCATGCTCTCCCAGGGCCTTCCATGCCTCTATCGGTACCCCGTCTGGACCCACTGCTTTCCCAGCTTTCATTCTCCCTAGCTCCCGGCGAACTTCATCCTTCGTCCAGGGAGTGATGGGACCTGCCGTCGCCTCTATCTGTGGGCTATCCTTGCGAGGGAATTCTTCGTTCAGAAGTCCCTCGAAGTATTCTTCCCACCTCTTCCTGACTTCGGCTGGTTTCCTGAGAATGGCCCCGTTGCTGCTCTTCACAGTCTTTACGACCCTGATGTCCTGAGCTGCGCGATGCCGAGCTTTAGCCAGGCGGAAGACGAACTTGTCCCCTTCTCGGCCTTCCAGCTTGTCGTACAGGGCGTCCATTTCCGTATTCTTGGCCTTAGCAACGGCCGCCTTAGCGAGTCGCTTGCAGCTCTTGTAGGCAGCGTAGTCTTCTGGGCTCCGTGTCTTTTGCCAGCGTTTGTATGCTTCCTTCTTCTGCTTGACGATCCTCTGGACTTCCTCGTTCCAGAACCAGGCTGCCTTGTCTCCTCTGATACCACCTCGCGTCTCTCCCAGGACCTCCCTTGCACACTGTAGGATGACCTCTGCTGCGTAGGTCCAGGTGTCCTGGACTGGCCCATGTGGGTCTGGGAGCCCAGCCTCCAGTATTCTTCGGCCAAGGCTATCCTTTTCTACCCTGCCCATTTTCCACCACCGAATTCTCGCTCTGCTCTCACCCTCGTCTTCTTGGGGAGGTCTATGGCGATGTCTGCCAGGAGAGGCCTGTGCTGAGGGCCCAGCTCTTCCCCAGGCAGTACCTTGATATCCTTGATGGTTTTGAGAGACGATCTTCTTACCAGGACATGGTCGATTTCCGTTTGTCTCCCTCCACTGCTGTAGGTTACCTTTTGGGTCCTCCTTTTCGCGAAGAAGGTGCTGCAGATTGCTAAGTCGTGGGCTGTTGCTAGGTCAAGGATTCGTCCTCCCTCAGCGTTCTTTGTCCCTATTCCTTGACCTCCGTGCACCCTTTTCTAGACCCCTTCTGTCCCTCCCAACATGGCCATTCAGATCCAGCAGCTATGGTGAGATAGTCCTCTTCCGGAACCGATCTTATGGCCTCGTCCAGGGTCAGGTAGAACTCATCCTTTTCGGCTTCAGAGCAACCGGATTGTGGTGCGTACACGGTCAGTACTGTCCAGTACCCCTCCTTCGTGTCCATTCTCACTCCCATGATCCGGTCACTGATCCTGTTCACAGTGGAGACGCAGTCCTTGAGGGATTCTGCCACCGCTATGGCAACGCCATTCCGTTTGGTGTCTGCTCCATTGTAGAAGAGTTTGACGCCTTCTCCAATCTCGCGGGCCTTCGCACCCTTCCATCGCGTTTCCTGCAGGCATAGGACTTGGATATTCCTGCGTCTCATGAGGTCGGCAACCTCACGAGACTTCCCGGTAAGCGACCCCACGTTCAGGGTCCCAATTCGAACTAGCTTCTTTGGCCGAGGTCGTTCACCCCTAGCCCTCGCATACTGACCACAGAACTCGGGCGAGGGTTCTGCGCGCCACTTCCGGGTGACGTCCTAGCTTTTACACTGATTCTATTGCGACTTGTCATGGTTGTTGTGACGGGTTCCTCCATCAGCCGGCCTGTCAACCTGGGCCTGACGCTGGTATCGTCCCCATTTTTGCAATTTTTGCAAGGCAGGTTTGTGCCTCGGCAGGGATCGAACTCGTGGCTCAGAGTGAGATTAAAATATTTTAGCTTCAAGTCAAGTAGATCCCCTCCTTCATCAACGACCCTATCCCAGTGTCCCGAATGCCATTGGCCTCTGGTACCTCGGTTTTATCAACAACTGCGCGTGAATTGTTGTTGTTTACGATCTCGACGAATGACAAAATGTCGTATCCTTTGTAGTTGGACAGTACTCTTGACTGTCCAGAATAGGTGAATTCGCACGGCTCTAGGTCGGGCGAACGAGTCGACTGAGCCCAGCTCTCAGAATTGTTTGTGCCCAAGCGCTAACCTATGTTACAGGTTCGGGTTCTTTCAAGCAGTGGTGGCCTCCTTGTAGTTGTGTGGTACCATCCATATGTCCATCTGATTGTCAAGGAACAGGCAATATACACCGACAATGGCGGTTTTGCTCTCTGTGTAGAGCCGCATGGAAAGCCCTGGTGCAAAAATCTTTACGATGCCCACGTAACTCCTCATGGTAGAATTCGGGCGGCTTCTCATCTGCATTCATACAAAATTGACGATTGTGAGTTTTGGCTCGGAGTTCAAGACCACCCATATTTCATCGCCGGGGTGCGTTTTCACAGTCGTAAATATCACATTATGCGGTGAACATTACTGCGTACAGGCTCTAATTTACCATCCTTAATTTATTGGACAAAACTCGGGCAGCGGTTGCAGCAGGGATGTCAGTCTCTCGGGAGAGCTCGACAGGGTCCAGTCTCTGTGATCAATATTCAGCACTTGACTTCATACCTCCGCTTTTCTTGAGCATGATGAACATTATAAGGCCTTCCTCAGCCAGTTTTTTCCTTCTCCGTCCTTTGAACTTCTAAACCGAATCTTCCACATTCTATTTTGAGAACATCACTATACGCAACTACTGGTCCGGGACAGGTCAAATTTCAGCGGTCACTTTCTTGTATGACGCCCGATTCCAATCCACAGCTGATTCAGACCACTCAGGTTTCTTCTCAATTTCTCGAGAATTTCTCCTGTGACTAGGTTTGCGTAACGTCACAGATACATAGCTGAAGGTACTAGCTTAAAAATGGTGTAGTAGCCTGCTAACCTGTCTCCACCTGCGTGAACGGATGACCTAATACAATATACAGGGGCAGGGTTTGTCTCTAAAGCGTATTCTTTTCAGCGATGTGGTAATTGAAAGCTCGCAAGAATGTAAGTAGCTGTGAAGTTGTAGTTGAACGTGAGGTAGCTGAGAGGAGTAATAACTACTCAACTACTCTACATTCTTGGAAACTTTCCCAGACATTCCCAATCCCGCATAGTAAAGAAATAAACCTAAACGTGGCTTGTTTTTCTTGTCAATTTTAGACTGAAAAACGAGTTCAATTTAGAATTACACTGAAATCCACACCATCCTGTAGGTAAGCAATTGCTACTCTTGTTACGATAACTGCTAGATTTACTCTTGTTAATGGGCTTACGGGGATTTTTCCTCGTTCAAGGTCACGTTCGTCGTTGATCTTTAGGATTTGAGATTGCCAGCAGACAAGACTTTACTGCTTGATTTGCTTACTGCCACTTCTTTTTCCCTTTCGGAAGATCCATCTACTCTTTTTTCAGAGCCTGCAGAGTATGAAATGAGTAATATGTCATTTTTGATTGTGGATATATGCATCTTGTTACTTCAAATCGCCACATCTACATTCAATGGATTTCTTCTGTTCATGTTCTTCAGGTATGTAACATCCACATATACTCGAAATCCCTAAGATCAGGGTAGGCGTGGCTGCGTACTTGATTTCAAAATGGCGGCGGCCCAGGTTTTCGTGAGATATTGTCATTTCGGAGCAGTCGTAATCATGTCTACATCTAACACAGAACAAGATAGCAGTTGTTTCAAATTGAAGTATCCCACGAGAAACCCGTCCTATGCCATGCTCAAAGCCACGCCTACTCCGTCTCAGGGATAAGGAGTGTACATATCGCCAAGTGAGAATAAGGGAAATAGGAGTAGTGCTCTTCATTCAGGGCGAAGAAACTATGGAAGAACCCCTCTCTTCGACTTATGATTTTCCTCGCCTGCACGGATTTTCTTCATGCTCTAACAAGTGAGCTTTAGTGGTAGCAATCAATATTATCTTGATTAGGGGGAAAATTGGTTGAAAAAAATTGGAAATCAACACTATCTTGATTAGGGAAAAAATTTCAAGCGCAGTTCGGCGACAGCAGGGCTTTCACCTCCGCTGCTTCACTAGCTCCGGATTACAAGTCTCTTTGAGATGACAGTTATGAATACATCTGGAGCAGGAGTAAGCTCGTTGAGCCACATGGTGAATGGTATTCGTATGCTATCTCATTCAGGGCACATCATCGTTGGGGTTTCTCCAAAGGGGATCTTATTTGGTATTTGGTTTTTCTGAGAGAATTTTTTTGGGAGTGAATTTTTCTTTTTCACTGAAGCTATAAGAGCATGGGAGTCGTATTTGCTCGTTGTTGAGAGGTGGGGGAGGTGTGAATACTTGCCTTATGAGAGAAATTTGAGGTGTCGCGAGAATTTTTTCAAAGCCGACTTTTCGTGGTTTTTTTTTGTTTTCACATGTGTATGTTCCTGTATAAGTATTCCTCCCCTCACCATTCGACAGCAAACTTTGAGGAAAAAGTAACAACTTTCTCGGGAAATACCGGAAATCCTGGAAATACGGGGCAGTTGGAAAAATCCTTGAAAGAGAACCCGTCAGCTCAATCCTACCAGAGGAGCGAACTAAGTGCGGGGGGGGGTGGTCGTATGGACGTGCCGAATGCCTCGTTCTACCCATCCAAACTGTCCCAAATTTGTTCGAGACTACGTCGTGCTTCACTACTTTTTATTTAGCTCTTCCATATATCATATATACAACGACAAACTGGAACCCCACATTTATAGATCTAGACCCGTACTATGTTATGATTTCCAGTACACCCCTAACCATTCAGTTGAAAATCTATTTGACATTGACTATATCTATAGCGTTTGAGCGGACTTTGGTGAGGATAAACACAATAGCTCTTATGTTCACTACATAATTTTCAAAAACAGTTTTAAGGCTCTTTTTTTCCCTATGACCTACAGAACGCTGCCATCTTCTAAATATGCTTTATGCTCTCTGCTAATTGGCTGCCTGCTGGCCGTAATAGATCTTATCTTGGAATTCCTCCTCTCGCCTTTCCAAAAGTCACCAAATTGTGCCGCGATTGGATGTTTCATCAGTGCGAAGTTTCGCTATTACTGGGGAACAAGTAACATGGTGAGTGGAAACGCAAACGTGTCCCTTCATCAAAGCTCCATACCAAAAGGGGTCACCTTGTTCAGGTCATGGGCTTATTCGTTATTGTATTGACAACCCTAGTTATCATTAAACTCCGACTTATCGTGAAGGAATCCCATTCGCAGCAAATTGTTGCGAACAAAGAACTCAAAAAGATTTGGACAGGTATGCAGAAATTATGAATGCTTCGATTATTTCATTGTTATCGATTATTTTCAGGCTAATCGTACATCCGCAGGAATTCTTCTGACCTCTTTGGTCTTTGTTACGATCCCAAGTGTTTGCGTGGGCTTCGTTGAAATGATCGGTTATTCGTTTTTCAAGACAGTCGGTCCATTTTATATTGTTGGCTTGCTTTGTGCTGGTAAGTTGTTTCTCCTGATTCATTCACTTCTGGCAGAATCCCACACAACTCCGTCTAGGGTTGTGTAACAGCATAGTGTACGTCGTCCTCAACCGTGATATGAGGGATCTTGTGAAGAGTTGCATCTTCCACATACCAGCCACAGCAACGGGAATGTCGTTGACTTCCACGAAAATTTTTCCACACTTAAACTTAAGTCTAAGGAGAATCGCAATTGATACCTGCCATGTATAATTTTTAAGTGTGGTTACCATTTGCTGCCGGATGAATAAAGCTTTCAAACAATTTTGCTTGGAAGCACGCTTATTTGACTTCTCTGAGCTTTCACGTTTATCTTGTTAATCCGCATTGAGCCTTTCCAGTAACGCCTCATTAACGCATCAGCAACTGGGATTTCTTCACTGTCGGCTGTCGCGCATGTTAAATTACAAGGAGCGGTTAATGGAAGAAAAACATAGAAAGCAGTTATGAATGCTTCACCCCACGTTAGATAGCGCTTTGAAAATGGACCCGCAGAGAAGCATTTACGGCAAGGTAAAAATGAAAGATCGGTGCTACTTGTTATTTTGTAGTTTTTATGGTGCTGCTAAGGTTGAACAGAAGGGCTTAATAAAGTGGCTGACTAGACTGGAGGTAGAGTGGGCAATTGCGTGGCCTTTCAGCTTTCGTCTCTGCCTAGGTGCACGACTGAAAGCTGACTTGTAAGAAAACCGTTAGTTCCAGGGGACAGCATCGGTATGTATGAAATGGTGGATCAGTACGACCCATGGTTAGGTCCAGATATTGCGCAACTTTTCTATTTTTGTTACCTCGGAAGGCTAGAGTAGTGGTACTGTTGCACCATGAAATTTATGAGTGGAGCCATTTATTTAGCTACCTATCTAGTAATGAATGAGACTCTCATCAATTTTTCTCATCCACTTCCACGACTCTACTTATCTAGTAATGAATGAGACTCTCATCAATTTTTCTCATCCACTACCACGACTATGACAAGCTATGCAGCTCACTTTGTTCTGGGACCTCTGTTACCATATTTAGATGGTTTTCGACGAGCTCACTGTTCATGAGTGTAGGCTGCGATTGCCCAACTAGTAAGCCCATGCCCAAGCGGTAAACTGAATGGCAGGCGAGGCCGCTTTCCACGAAGGCATACAACCGATCTACTCCAAGAATGCTCTCGATCTGAGCGCGACGCTGTTAAGGCGAAGTCCTCAGCACACGGCAGCTGTTCGGCCGAGTACTTTCGCGGAGGTAGGGCGGCAGTCCTGTGACATCTTCACGGACACTTGAAGATGAAGAAATCCGCAGCTTTGGCTCTACATATTGAGATAGCGCCAGCGCAACCTTTGCCGACCTTTGCCGTGCTCCTGTTTTCTTCCCATAACCATTGTTTTCTCCCTTTCATAGGCTCTTCAGCAATCTTTTCTAATTATGAAATGCAAGTACATATGACAACCTTCTTCAATTGGCAATGACTTAATTAAAGGACTAGGATTTCCGACGGCTGAAATCAACTCTTCAATAGAAAGTACATTTCGAGCAGTTTTCGGAGTACGGGAGAAGTATTCAGTGAGCAATTTGCTCAACTCATACCTTAGACAACGCAAAGTCTACTGAACTCATAACTTCTTCCCCACACCATCAATCTGAAACTATTCATCTACTTTTTTCACAACGCTAGACCCCCAGATTTCAATAAGGATCCAGGAGACTCCAAACTCTGCTGACAGACGAATATTCCTCATCAGCCCTGTAGCACTGGCCCAATCGACTAGCACTTATTTCCCTCTCTGCAGCTGTAGCTCACCCTATTAAAAGGAAACTCTACGGTCGTCGACAAGGTCGAAGAAGTGCCATCTAACCTTTCTCTGAAGACGTGGGAGGGAATTACTTCTTATGCATGGGCGATATGTTGTAGACGTGGTATTGGATGCTGTATTGGCTTAATAAACCAACAAAGTGGCAACTACTAAAACAGAATAATCAAAAACAGTCAGCTTATTGCGGGAATTATGGAACGCTTAGAAGGATTTGTTACAAAAATTGGAAACTTTACTGGTGTGTTTTCTACTGAAAACTGAACATCCCGTCCTTACACTGCGCACTTTATTGGAAGTTGCTAGCGTAGTACACTTATGTACCCCACGCATCCCTTCAGCTATCCTGAAGGCTAGTCTCGCATTATATGTACATGCTCTTTAACACCTTTAGTAACTAATCTCCCTGACCTTTCTTTCTGTAATGTATCTCAGAAAAATTCATTTTTCATACACGGGAATGTGGGAATTTCAAAAAGGATACAAGGGACATTAAGTCAGTGATTGGATTACTCACAGTGGAAGAAGTTCCCACTTCTCTAAACTTCATCCTCTTCTGCTCTCATGAGTTGACAGAAACAAACCGGAGTACACTTGAAATTTTTGCTGGAAATTCGGGAAGCAAAAACCATTTCTCTCATAGAACTTGTTTTGCAAATACCATGCCTTGCAAAAACTGCAGAATGCTGCAAAAAGTGATTAAAACTGTGAACGTGGATTGTTGACCGGGGTTATCATGAAGTCGCTGAGTTGCTGACATGGAGGAATAGCTGACGAAACGTTCCCGAAACTTTATCGCCTTCATGGAGAACATGCACATACGATCGAGGAGACGGCAACACGAACTCAGCACGTCCCGGCGAAGGAGGTAGGCATCCCGTTCGCCGGATACCACGGAGTAGGTTTCAGGTTTTCTCGATTTTTTTAGCCATACTCCTTTTCTTGTAAGGGACTGTATCTATCGTCGCGCTAGACCCCGTAATGGCACCTCGTCTCGCGTCTTTCATCAGCAGTAGTTCGAATGTTCGTCTAATGCTGGAGCCTTATTCAGGCCCTGTGAATTGAATCCACGAGTTCGTATTTATCCCATTTCTCAATAACAGCAAGCGCGGAACGTGTAACCAGAGAACTGCTGACGTAGACAAAAACCTACTGCCCACATTTCATTATTAAAGACACATGGTACGCTCAAGCACATGAGGGTGTGTGAGACTACCAC